CACTGTGCGGGGGGTGAGGCAGTGGCCCAGGTTGCCCAGGGAAGCTGTGGATGCCCCATCCCTGGAGGGGTTCAAGGCCAGTCTGGATGAGGCTTTGGGCAGCCTGGTCTGGTGGGAGGTGTCCCTGCCCATGGCAGGGGGTGGCACTGGATGGTCTTGAAAGTCCCTTCCAACCCAAACCATTCTATGATTCTGTGATTGCCCTTCATGAAACACAATGAAGAAAAATCACTGTGATCTTGAGAAGTCCATAAAGATCTGCACTTTTAAATGCTTTGCTTGTTCTTTTTTGCTATTATATCTAACCTATGCTGCAAGATCCAGGGAGAACATCTCTGTAACAGCACCCCTACGACAGCCATGAAACAACATGTCCTTAATTGCCACCACTTCAACCACACCAATAGCCCTCAACTGCGCTCAAGTTGCCGTGATGGGAACGAGCTCCCAACGCTTCTCTGTGCAACCTCAGTTCAAGTGAGTTCTCCACCGAGACCCCAAAGGACGTTGCATTTGCAGGTTGGGCTCCTCTAGGGCAGGTGGTGGGTCTCCTCCCGTGGGCAGGTTAAAGAAGATGGCTGGGGGGTTTGGAAGCAGATGGGGTGTTCATCTACACTCCTTTGGATATTAAGAGAAGCCTTACAAGATTGCTGGTTGCCAGCAGATGAAATAAGAGGAAAGCATATAATTGCAAAGTTTATTGTTTCGCTTAAATTTGAGCCTCAAGGGGAAAAAAAAAAACCACAAAAAACACACTAACTTCTCCTAGGGTTTTTGGAAGGTTTAGGATGGGGCTGTGGTGCAGGAAGCAGCAGGCATGTTTGGATTCTTCACTCCGAGGATGGATTTTCAGCTTCCAAATTCCCCGTCCTGCACGTCTGACTCTTTGTGTATGTACGTGCACGCAAAAGTACATACAAAATACCTTTATAAATCTAAGTTTGTAAAATAAAAATCAAAGCCAAACACGCCAAGGTGACTACACAAAGGGAAGCAATACCCAGGGAAGTGTGCACACCCTGGTTTAAAGGATTTATGGGACCAGGCATTTTAGCTTCAATTAATTTTCAAAGTGCTGAAAGCAGACAAGAAACCATGTAATTACAAGATAACTTGGCTTACCCAGATTCGAGTTAACTAGTGCTCTGGGTTAATCACAGGTCAGCCTTCTCCCCAGCCAACAAAGCTAAATCCCCTGTATTTCAATGCTTTGCTCCTTGCTTTAAAGCAACCATTAGTTCTTGTTCTGACCTTTTCACTTAGGGAAGTATTTGGGATTTTGGAGACACTCGAGAAGACCAGGAAAGTAACGCACAAGGTGGGCAGCACGGGACCACACAGCCGTGCAAGCGCTGCTCCCATCACCAGCCCATCTCCTCCCCACCAAGGCACCCTCATTTTAAGGGTATTTTGCCCAACCTTCAGGGCAAGCTGGTCCAAGCAACCCCTCAAGAGACTCGGATCATCTCCAGGGAGCAGAGGAAGCTCCCTGAGGACCATACAGTTAGGATTTGGGATGCTGCTCGTGTCCTGTCCTTGTCTGCATCCTAGGGAACTATTTTTTTAATTTTTTTTAATTTTTTTAATGTCTGTATCTACACCACCAAGAAACTTCCAGGATTAGCCACAACTACTTCCCACCGGACATTTTAAACTCTGTTACAATTACTCCTTTGTCCTGCTATTTTGTGCAATCACATTTTTATTTTTCAATCTCTTTCAGACAGACAGATTAGTGATTTATTTCCACCAATTAATACAAACTACCTAGAGAACAGAAAATTAGAGGGGTTAAAAGGAAAATTAGAATCTGGTGCAGTTAAAAACAAAACCAACTAAGAGCAAGCTAGCAAAGTCCCAGCACATAAAGGGATTACTCCATTCCTGACCCTTTCCAGGGGACCTCCAGGTATTATTTTTCATTGATTTACCTTAATGAAACTAATGCACCCCTCTCCATAGGAAGCTGACTCCATAGCTGTCTAGGCACTGGATTCAATTAAAGAAATAAATACATCTGGTTTCTAAACGGTTGAAAGTCTTGAAAAAGCCAGAGGCAAGACCACTTTTTTGCATCTGTCTCTCTTAGGGGAACGCCCTAAGGACACCATGTAGGATGGACGACATCCAACACCGCTCCTGGAAAGCCCATGGCTGTGGGGGATGCACGAAGCATCCCTCCTGGCTCCCCAGCAGCCCTGCCAGCATCCCAGCCACGGCTTTGATGGAAGCTGGCCTCAAATTGCTTTAACAAGGCTCTTTCTTTCCAGAAGCTGGCGTTGATTTGAGACCTCGATGTTGACTTAGAAAGCCCCCAGGTGCCCAGAGCCTGCAAATACTCAAGGCTTAGCTATGCTCAGTTTCCAGGAAAAGGGGTACAAGCACCCGACCAGGGCGTGAAATATCAATACTATGGCAGCAGCTCAACATTAAAATGAAGAGCAGGGGTTAAAGGTGGAAAAGCAGAAGCTGGGATAGAAGCTACGTCTCTGCGCTGGCCGCATCTCACACTGTACAACTGCATCGAGCAGGGCTGTGCCGGCAAAAAAAACGGAGGCACGCATTGCTCGCATGTGCCTTGGCTTGCAGACATGGGAACAGAGGAAACAAGGTGGCTCGAGAGCACTTTGTTTGCCATCGATCCATGGAAATGCCACAGCTTTTTCTCCCACACATGGAACAAGCAGAAATGACAACAATCAGAGGGGTTCGTTGAACCAGAAGGCAGGTCCGAAAGGTCTCCTTCGCTTTCTTTGGGCTAATTGCCCTAATCCAAATAGGGAGAAAGTAAAAGTCAAGAACTCACACTATTTTCTGGATAAAATACTATTCTACCACTCTATCCGGAGGGAAGGCTCAGCTGTCCAAGCCCCAGGTCGGAGCACTTAGACCAGGAAGAACATCAGGCTGGAATCCCCATGGGGGATTTGTCTGAACGAAATGCAGGGGTTTTACATAGATCTTTTCTCTTTCAAGCAAAAGTTGAAGATCCCATCATGCTTTCCCTAGTGACAGGCATTTCCCCTAATCCCCCACACACTTAGGGATGTATGGGGGATAAAAGGAGGCAGTTAAACATGGCTTGCTCTAAAAGCAACCATTTAGCAATTCTCCTGCAACAGCATTTTTGTGAGCAACCTTCTTTCCCCTGGTCTCTTTTTTATCCTACTCATTTAAACTTCTACTCAATCTTTTCCTTTCCTCCCTTCCGAGATGAAGGACCTTTTCTGGTTCAACTCCCCCTCCAACATCCGAGGTGCAAGCAGAGCAGACCAAACGCGCACGACACGCAGCCTTGTACTCACCGACATTGTAGAGTGGACATCTACATCCCCCTACAGAGGACAACACAGGGAGTTTAAAGTCAAAGGCAGAAGAAGAGAGCAAAGCAACAGCGAGAAAGGCAGAGAGGTACACATTGGTCATCGCCCGTAGGTGCCTACAACTCATAGACGTTGGTCATCACCCATAGATGCCTACAACCTATACACATCGGTCATTGCTTATAGCTTCCTACAACCCATACACACTGGTCATCACTGGTAGGTGCCTACAACCCATCAACGTTCCAGCTGAGGCACTGTCTGCTCAGCAGTTGGCAGGGTATTAAAAAAAAAAAAAAAATCAAAATACGGGTTCCTTGAACCTGGTCTAAGGAGGATGAGGAGGAAATCAAAGTACCATAAGCCCACTTTTATTGCTACACATATGTTCTGCAAGTCAACATCCGTGAGACTCAGCTTCCCACCTGTACGACGGAAGAGATGGATGTCAAATGTGAGCAAGCGACCACAGGGTTCAGCTCAAATAAAACTTGCTCAGCCCTTCTGAAGGCAAAGGGAACATTATCTAAGCACAGACAAGACTCGGGTAAATCTACAGAAGGTGTCTTTAGTGCTCATATGATATTTTCCTGATGGTTATTTTCCACTTGGGTCCCTCCCAACGTGGTCAAGGCTGCGGTTGGTGCAAAGTTCAAGGCATTTTACTTCCACGCACAGTGCTTTGCCTTTTAAAATATTACAGAGGGATTTGGCTTTTTAAATAAAAACATAGGTAATCGTTCTCTTTAAAAAGAAAATAAACACTTCCAAAGTTCTTTCTACCAAAGCAAGAGCTGCCGTGGCCGCTGTATTTATTCGTAACTGGGAAGAGATGCCAATATGGTGAATAAGGCAAAAAAGCCTGCAGGCTTTTCAGCCTCCAGCTGAAATCTGTGCCTGCCATCTGGCAAAAATAAGCACAAAAGCTAAAAAAAAAAAAAATCCAACCCAACTCTTGCAAAGAGTTCACACTGAGCTACTCAAGCCGGCAGAGGTTAGAGTTTGTTCGATTGCTGAAAGATTGCTTCCCCTTCCCGGGTCAGCATCACCTCTTGACCTGCCCTGATTACCTTCCAAAGGAGGTTATCAAGATACAAGACTAACAGAGGATTAAAGGAAACTTAAAATAAAAACAAAACACCCCCCCCCCCTTCCCTCAACTTTGCTCCCATCCCCCAAGAAAACATCCTTGCTTTGTTAACCTGACAGTTCACTGTAGGTGTTGACACAACCCTCCATCTTTGAGAAGCTTAATGTCAACAAATCAGTGTGTTTGGAGTAGCCCTGTCAATGCGATTTACATTAACTTGTCTAACAAGAAATAAAAACAACAATCAGCCATCAAAGACAAAAGGCTTTTTCAGTCATTCTTTTCAAAGTATTATGCTGGAAATGTTAATTTTTTGAGGCCATGGCCCTTTACTTGCTGAAAACCAAAAACCACCTTTTTTTTTTTTTTTTGATAAATACTATTTTTTTTCCTAAAGTTTTTTTTTTTTTTTAAAGTGTTTTCTTTTAAAGGAGGCCTGAGCATCCCATGTTAATAAGCTCAGCAGCAGCAGCAGTAACCGACTCTCCCTGGTTAACGCAGGAAGAGGGCAGCCTGGAAGCCAAATGTTAATTATGCTTTGATTTCCACCAGCGGGTTATTTGCTTTGAGACATTTTGGGCACTTAACGGAGCATTTTCAAATTGTGGCTCGAAACCACCATGAAAATTTCATGCAGCAGTGGTATGCACCAAAACCCCATTAACTTCACCATGAACTTTTCCTCGCCCCCAGCACACCCTGTACCCACCAACATGCCCTTTGCAGCTGGGAGCTCGGTGTCCTAAAGCAAAGCTGGAAAAAGCAAATCGATTCCAAGGATTCCTAATATCAAATGGTTTCCACCATCTCCCACAATGTCTCTGCTGATGCTCTAAAGGAAAAATCAGGGATGGAATTCTAGAGAAAGTAGAGATGCTTTATGCCACTCCACAAGCCAGGACAAGCTTTGGTCTGGATTATTTTTCCTGCTTGAGCAGGGGGGTTGGACCAGATGACCTGCTTGCCCAGAGAGGTGGTAGATGCCCTATCCCTGGAAATATCCAAGGTCAGGTTGGATGGGGCTCTGAGCAACCTGATCTAGGTGAAGATGTCCCCAAGTGGTTGGACTAGATGACCTTTAAAGGTGCTTTCCAACTCAAACCGTTCTATGATTCTATGACCTCCAGAGGTCCCTTCCAACTTCAACCCTTCTGGGATTCACCCCAATAAATACAGGAAAAATTCAGCCTCATGTATCCAAAAAGGGAAACACAAAACCTAACACTCAAATCTTGGCTCGGGGTCACCTTTCAGCTTGCTCAGCATCTCTGCTCCTCTCACCCTCTCTCCGAAATGTTGACTTGAGTCAACCGGACCCTTCAAGGCCATTTGATCTGCCTTGCGGCAGAGCTGGAACCTTGACCCCAGAAAGGTTTCCTGCAGATGAGCAGCCCCGTCCAAGACAATGGGATTACTCACACCCATCAAGTTAAGGAGCCGCCTGCATTTTTGCAGGCTCAGGACTTTCGGCTCACTTCTATTACAGGACAGCGCTTTTTGTTGCTGTAATTTTCGCACAGTAACCGCCGACATGCCCAGGCTGAGTTTCTTTGATCAGCAGGTGAAGGTTTTTCTTGGTGCAATTACTGTCGTGACAGAAGGCAGGTGAGTAGCTCGGCTCCTGCCACTTAGTCATCTCCTGAGCCTGACACTCTTTTCTCGTAAAAAACTTCTGCAAGTTCAAATACTAGGAGAGCTCTTCTCACTTATTTTAAAATCGTGTAGATCTACTCAACACGAAGGTACCTGCTCGGGAAGACAGGGCATTGCCAAACCAGGAACGGACACGAGAGCAGGAAGGGATGGTGTTGTGTGGAGGCCGTGTCTAGGGACAAGAAGATGCTCCACTTTCCAAGGATGGTGCTCAGTCACTTGCTTTTCTTTGTGAGCTACTGGCAGTGTGAAAATCCTACATTTTATAGCTGGAGCAGGCTGCAAACTCACCCCTTTTGGAGACAGTTCCATTCCCTCTCAAACCCCTCTCGCTCATTCCTTTCACAAATGAAGCTCATCCCACACAACTGGTGCTCTCAGAAACATCTCCATCATTTTCCTGCATTGCTTTAGACAGACGTGGGCTTCTACACGCCTTATCTCCCACATTTCGTTTAGCAAGGTGCAGAAAATTTAAGGTGTTTCTAAATAAGCCACTGGAAAAAGGCCCTTGAACCCTACAAGAATGAACCAGCGGAGACACCAAGGGATCTGGGTGCCTTTTCGATGTACTGTGATTTTTTTTCTGACTTGCTCTCACCCACCATTGCCTGCAGGATACACAGGGACCCATCAGCAATATTCAATGACGGCATCTTCATAGCGTTCCTCTAAAGGAAGACACTCGAATCTAGATAAAAAAATCCCAGCCCTACGTCTCCTACAAACCATTGAACCAGATCTACAGCTTCATAAATCAGATAGCAGCACCTGATTGACTTCCCTCCCCTATCTCGCAGGGCTGGTGGGAGGATCAGTGCCGTGCAATCCTTTGAAGATAAGCTTCTGCGTGTCTGCTGGTTGAACAGCACCAGTACGTTAGCCGGCACCTCCACCACGGCAAACTGCAGAGAGCTTTCTCCTCGGCTGGGTCCTTTCTAACCCAGCTCTGGAAGAGAAAAGGCTGCTTCCATCTGTCTTGGTCCTATTTAGACCAATTTGCTGCCCTCCCAAGTCTCCAAAACAATTTTGACTCATTCAAAAAGGAAAGATTCATATTTAAGGAAGACAAATCACCCCAGGTCCAGCTCATAAATCATTGCGGGCATCTCTCCCCATCCTCATCTCTCCCCATCCTCATCTCTCCCCATCCTCATCTCTCCTGCTGGCCATGCTTCATGCTCCAGTGCAGAGACCAATCTCCCTGTCAAATTCCATTACTTCCTTCTGTAACTACTCCCAGGATGATTTGTGGAAGTGGTCTCCAGGTAATAACCCACCCCTGTGCCGCCACATCTCCTTTTGTAAAGAGAAATCCAGTGGCTGAGGAATCCAGCCACGTCCAAGCACCTCCAGACTCCAGAGTCTGAAGTTTGTTCCAGTGAGAACAGAGCCAAGAAAGCACCTCCAGTACAGAGACCTGAGAAAACCGCTTTCACAGGGAGAGGGAGGGGACTGTCCCCCTCTGCTCCGCTCTGGTGAGACCCCCCCTGGGGTGCTGCCCCCACCTCTGGGGTCCTCAGCACAGGACAGACACGGAGCTGCTGGAGCGGGGCCAGAGGAGCCACGGAGATGGGC